CTCCTCTCCTCTCCTCCTCCTCTCCTCTCCTCTCCTCTCCTCTCCTCTCCTCTCCTCTCCTCTCCTCTCCTCTCCTCTCCTCTCCTCTCCTCTCCTCTCCTCTCCTCTCCTCTCCTCCCCTCCTCTCCTCTCTTCTCCTCTCATCCCTTCTACAGGCCAAGGGCTTGTCCCAGAAGGATTTCGCGAGCAAGATGATGGTTCCCCCCAAGACTGTGCAGGACTACGAGAGCGGGAAGGCGATCCCCAACAACCAACTTATCGCTAAGATGGAGAAAGTCCTTGGATGCAAACTGCCACGTGCCTCCAAGTAGAGCAGAACGAAGACGATGATGGCGATGATGATGACAAGAACAACAAAGAGCGTCTGATCTGATGTTAAAACAATTCAGAGATGTTCACCTGTACATCGTTCGTCTTCATCTTGAAAAACTAAATCTTTTTTTTCTTGTCTGCATTCCTCCACACGAAGTTGTTTGCTTGTTTTGTGTCCTTCCAGGCATTCCGCACACCAAGAGTTGTCGAGGAGAAGGGTGAGGAGGAGCAACTTGTGGTACGTTGCTGTTGGAAAAGCAGCAGTGAACAAGCAGGAGAAAGGTTGAAGAGAAAGGCACATGCTAGGACAATGAAACATCGTCGAAACGACAAGGTAGGCAAGGAGATCACATCATTATTGATGTAGATGTTGATTCAATGAAATAATGAAAATGTTGAAAGATTGTAACCGCAAGAGAAAGGATACACAAGATGCAGCAAAACTCCATCTGCTCTCGTCGCTGCACTGTTCGACAAATCTCCAGCCCTCCTCCTTCCTCTGTCTCTTCTTTCACCCCCTCTCCTCCTCCTCCTCCACCCTCCATGTTTGTCTGATCTCCCTCCTCCTCCTCTACCACTCTGATCCAGTGAACCCAGCGTTCAGCACCTGCCTCCCTCCCGCCATCACCCCCTTTGCGTCTCTCGTCCAAACCTCCGACCCAGTCGTCTGCAGCCGCAGCACTCGACCGACTTCGTCGCTGATGTTTATCCCCTGCTGCCTCGCTGTGCTCTCCAGCCTGTGCGCCTCCTCCACCGCCTCCCCCATGAGCTGGTACCTCGGCTGCAGCAGCCCCACCGTCCCTGCCAGGCAGGACCCCATGGCGATGCCGATGCGGCAGGCGAGGGGGACGTGGAAGTCAAGACCTGCCTGCTCGACGATGTCGATCATGTCGGACGCGAGGGCAACCATCCTCTGACAAACCTCCCGCTCGCTCTCTCCGTCCACCCAGCACGCGCACACGTATGCGTCTCCTATCGTGTCCATCTTGAAGAGCTGACGCGTCTGGACCGCCGAGTCAAAGCGGGAGAATACAGAGTGAACGAGCATGGCGAGCTGCATGACTTCCATCTTTGAGCTGAGCTCCGTGTAGTTGCACAGGTCCAAGTAGAGGACGGCAGCTCTACGGGTGGAGCAGGGGACGTGGCCGAGCAGGAGAATCTGCCGAGCGACGTCGATGGGGAAGAGGTCGCAGAGGATCTTGAGGATAGCCTTGTTCTCCAGCTTGCGGTGCTGAATCATCCGCCAGCGTTCGCGCTCGAGGAGGAGGGAGTTTCTCACCTGGATGTAGCTGAAAGTGGCGCAGGCGAGGGGGAGGAAGACTGTGTTCCAGCTGGCCCGATGCTCGAGGAAGGAGAGGACGAGGGAGGGGACGACGACGACGACGGAGAGGAGGAGGTGCTCGCGGGAGGAGAGCGAGGAGTGGATCAAGTTGAAGCAGGTGAAGGCAGGAGCGAAGACAAGCATCCATCCCGTCGCCTTCACCGCCATGGATGAAGCGGCCATCAGCAGCGTGTAAAGCACGTTGTACCCCGTGAGCATCCTCTTCCAGAAGCGGAGCTTACCGTGCGCCTCCTCCTTCCCCCGCAGTGTCTGCAAGGAGCAGACGCCCAGGATGGCCGCCATGGAGGCGACCGCGAGCTTCTGCGACAGGATGAACAGCCGCTGCGCCCTCCTGTCCTCCATCCTCTTGAATCCGTCGAGCTCGCAGATGCTCAGGAAGGTCACTAGGATCCTCATCAAGTTCCCCACCATCGCCATCAGCAGCTTCTTTTCCTCCAGGTGCTGCCGCTCTGACCAGAACTGCCGCTCAGTCGCAGCGTCCAAGAAGGAGAAGGAGGAGGAGATCTGCAGCTTGTCGTACATGGCGGTCTGGTAGTCGTCCCCCACGAAGGATCTCCATGCTCCCATCTTGGATGAGGAGGACCCTCCTTCCATCGACTCGCTCGACCTGCTCGCCACCTTTCTCCCCTCCTTGAACTTCACTGGCGCCTTCCTGACCTCCTCCTCCTCCTCCTCCTCCTCCTTGCGACGGAACTCACCCTCGACCCGCCTCCTCCTCGGCGGCTGCTCGCAGGGATCGGCGAGCAGCCTCCTTGAGAGCGAGTCAGGCTGCGTGCTGAAGGATCTGGACAAAGGAGAAGACATCTTCCTGTCCCTCGCTCCATCCTCAACTTCCACGTAGAACGTCTTCATCCTCCCCTTCCCTTTGATCGCCTGCATCCCCCGGCACACGCAGCTGATCCCCTCCTGCCTCCCAGCCATCAGCACCTGCACAAACTTCTCCGTCGCCTGGATCTTGGAGGGCTCCGAGGACGCGCACATTCTTGCTGCTGTGTTGACAGGGTCCCCGAACAGACAGTAGAACCTCCGCTGCTGCCCCACCACCGCCCCCGCCACCTCCCCCATGCTCACTCCCACCTTCGCCCACAGCGGCTCGCCGCTTCTCGTCCTGAACTTCTTCGCCGTCTCCACAAACTTGGCTGCCAGGATCACCATCCTCCTTGCCGTCGACCGCGCGTACGCCTCGATGTTCACTGGGTCCTGGAAGGGATACGCCGAGCGAGGGCACGCGACGACGTACTGGTCGACAACATGGTGGTACTTGAACATGCCGAACTGATCCACGAGGTCGTCAAACTCGCCGTAGACATTGTTGAGCATGTCGTAAAGCTCCTTGGTGCCGAGGTAGGATGAGGCGGAGGAGCCGCGAGCGGCGGGGGAGAGGCTGACAAACATGATGATGCAGAGGTCCATCGCCTTGCCCACCATGTCGTGACTGTCCTGGTCCTTGAGACGGGAGTGAAGCGAGCGGGGGATCAGCGTGCAGAGGAGGCGATCGGTATGATCCGTGAGCTTCTTCAGCGACGCCTCCTGGTGAAACTCCTCGCTGGCGTTGGAGAGGCGAGAGGAGCAGACGAGCACGGTCATCATCGAGAAGACGCTGTGTAGCAGCACTCCTGTCCACAGGTGGAACAGATCCGCTCCCACCGCTCCTCCCACCACCAGCAGGATCACCAGCTCCAGCAGCGCGAGCACAACTGCCGAGATCACGTCGACTCCGGCGGATGTGGGGAGGAACATTCCAAGCATGAGGTAGTGGATGAACGAGTCGGGCAGGAACATCCTCGGCACACAGCTCCTCTCCTCGCAGTCGAACTTCGCGCAGTCCGAGAAGGAGACGTTCACGTCGCATCTCCTCGTCCATGAGAGGCCGTCGCCGAAGTCCAGGGAGAGGAGGACGGGAGGGTGGCAAGACTTGGAGCTGGAGAGCGCCAGGTCCTCCACGACGCGCCTGCATACCTCCAGGAGGAAGAGGAGGCTGAAGACTGAGGACACCTGCACCCCCCACTCCCTGACCCGACTTCCATCCTTGAACACTCTTGGTATGTAGACGATGAGCATGAACCATGAAATGAGCGAGGAGAGGAGGAGGAGCGAGGCCTGTACCCAGCGGAGAGGACGCGCTCCCTGGCATCCCCCATCAACGAGGACTACGATGCAGCAGGAGGCGTATCCCAACACGCAGCCTGTCAGCTGCCTTTGAAACCTGGGCATGTTCTGCTTGAAATCGCTCTCTAGGAACTCGAACTGAGCGCTCTCCGCCTCCCCGTCCTTGATGACTCGGGAGGTGAGACGGGAAAGCAGAGACATCTTCGCTGGGATGGCAGTCTGAGAGATTTCTAGCTGTGCCTCACTGGCAGGGAAAGAGCATGCCCAACCGCCTCCTCCTTCACAATGTTGTGGTATAGATTCAAAATCTCGGCTGGTTCGTCAAAAAGCTCTCAGATAAAGCTCAGAGGATCTCCCTTTGCATGCAGTGGAACTTTGAACAGAGACGCTTCTACATAGTCAGAAGCGTTTCCAAACTATCGAATTCCTCTTGCCTTCCTTATTGGCACAGAAGCATTCCTGTGAAATCTTGACCTTGTTTGCTGTTGTTTGAGTTTTTCTTCAGCTCGTTCTCTTTCTCCTTCCTGTTTTCCGTTTGCTGTTTCCCGCTCTTTGGTGAACGTTTTCGCTCCTCCTCCTCCTCCTCCTCCTCCTCCTCCTCTCTCTCTCTCTGCCCCCTTTCCCTTTCCCCTTGAGAGTCCTCGAGGATATGATAACCCTGTAAGCCAGTCAGTCAAAATAGTTTACGATATTGTTCTCCTATATTTCAAAATTACATACAAATATTGAAAATATGTTGCAAACTTGGGTATTTCCCTTCAAACATCATATCCATAGAAAAAAAATTCACTTTAAAAATAGTTTTTGTTTCATAAAAGTAATTATAGAAACATATCTCGTACACCATTTCTGGTAGGGTACACTCCTTGGTGCCAAGAATAGCATATATAATATTTTAAATTTAAAAGTCGTCGGGGTATGGGCCCAAACGACATGTTTTCCCCTCTTCCGCAAATTTCAATTTTGGTACTGAAAACCATGTATCATATTTCAAAATAAAATACAAGAGTGAACATCTGTTCCGGTACGGGCTTTAAAAGTCACGGTCCGATCACGGGGTGCTACTCCGGCCGCGGGGGCCTTCACAGGCTCAAACTGGCGGCGGCCCGATCACTAGTACCCGGCCGGGTCAGTTCACTCAAAGTAATTGAAAGTTGTAGGTTTCAGTGATGCGGCCCGGATGGTGCGGCGGCCCGCCGGTTCAGGCCCGATCTGAGTGGCCCGGCGCCTCAGGCCCTCCGGGCGGTTCCGGGGCGGCCGCAGTGAACTCCGGGACTCGCCGGGCGAGCCGGACTCGTCGGCGGCAGTCACTCGGAGCGGCCACGCCGCCGGCCCGAAGTTCCAAAGTTCCCGGAAGTTCCGGGCCCGGGCAAAGTTGGAAGCCGAGTCAGAGTCACGGCGGACTCGGCGATCTCGGACTTTATAACGGTCTGTAACGGGTTTTGGGGCCACGTAATTTCTGGTACCAGGCTTGCTTCGCTTGCTTTCTTGCTTACCCCACCAGGGGACCCCCTGGTTTACCACCCACCCCATAAAATTGCAATGGATAAGTCGGAAGTGTTAGGGATGTGGTATTTTTACTATGAGAATAATTATACTTTATTGTGACCTTGGTTCCTTGGTTTCTCCCTTCATGCAGATACCCACCCCACCCCCCTCGAAGAACCGTTTGAAGCGAACAGAAGACACGTCCCTTCATTTACTACCCTACCCCCTCACTAACCACTTTACCACCCCCTTCATACCATCTTCCGACATCTCCTTACCACTTATTAACCACCCCCCTTTTCCATGGGTCTCATAGAGGGTCTCAAACTTCACCTACCCCTACAGGACCCATATGCTACAAGTACCCCTACATTAGCATAGGAAAGTACCCCACCCAATGCTTAGAATGCTCCAACGGTCCTTCATGATGTACCCACCTTCAGGACCGGCCCTGCCATCTATTAACGTCCAGGTACCCCCATGTGCATTACTCCCACCCCACCATACACCTAAACTTGTAACCCCTACCCCCCTTCTAGATCTTAAAACAACCACAAACCACTCAAATACCGGTCCTTCTCAAATCAAATACCCACCCTTGGGAATAAGGAACACCTCTACCAATCCCACCCACCCCTCGATTAGACTTACACCTAAGTACCTCCAGATATGATCACCCCTACCGACGACTCACCACCCGTCGAGTTAATCCGACTACCCACTCCCTCACGCACCATGACCCTACCCCCCCTCCCTGTAGTATTACGCCTCTGTATAAACCCCGTCCTGCGTCTGTTCCTCAGCTTCGTTGCTGCTCCTGCTGCATTGCGCTGTAGTTGTAGCTCACCGCGTCTTGCTCCCATCGTCCGCCCTCCCTCCTCCTCAACCACCCTCACAAGCTTCTGAGAACTTCTTCCTTCATCAAGTCAGCTAGCAGCGAAAATGCCGGCGATCTTGACCCGTCCCATCATGAGCAACGCTGTCAGAACCTTGTCCAGGGTTCAGATCCGTTTCTTCAGCAGCACATCCGGTCTCTTGTCTAAGAAGATTGTCATTGTTGGTGGTGTTGCCGGCGGTGCCTCTGCAGCTGCTCGTCTCCGCAGGTTGGACGAGAACGCTACCATCACTGTCTTCGAGAAGGGACCCTTCGTGTCCTTTGCCAACTGCGGTCTCCCCTACTACGTCGGAGACGTCATCAAGGATGACAAGGATCTTGTTCTTGCAACCCCTGCTCTCTTCAAGAACCGCTACAAGATTGACGTGCGAACTCAGAACGAGGTGGTCAAGATCGACACGAAGGCCAAGACTGTGGAGGTAAAGGATGTAGCTAAGAACACGACCTCTACCGAGAGCTACGATGCTCTCGTGCTTGCTCCTGGTGCCTTCCCCATCCGCCCTCCTCTTCCCGGCATCGACCTCCCCGGAATCTTCCTCTTGCGCACCATCCCAGACAGTATGCAGATCCGTGCTTGGATGGATCAGTACAAGATCAAGCGCGCGGTGGTTGTGGGCGGAGGCTTCATTGGCCTTGAGACCGCTGAGAACCTCGTGCATCGCGGGATTGAGGTGACCATTGTCGAGATGGGAACTCAGATCCTCCCTCCCATGGATCCAGGTGCCTCCCTCAAGTCTTCTTTCGCTTGCTTGTACTGACGCATATGGGTCGCAGAGATGGCTGAGGTCCTTCACGAGCATTGCAAGGCCAAGGGCGTCAACCTCTGCTTGGGCGATGGCGTCGCCGGCTTCTACAAGACTGACACCGGCCTTGAGGTCGCTACTCAGTCGGGCGCTCGCTACCCATGCGACGTCGCCATCCT